AGGCGTCATTATAAAAGGTTGAACCTTGAAATATGCTATTCAATTTGATATTGGGCTGATTTACATAATCTAGGGTCGCGGAAAATAATAATAATAATAACGTTAATATATTTAAGGCAACGATATTCTCCCTAGTCACTATAGAAGAACGGGGAAGGACGTCTTGCCAGAAAACTTGAACGATCGTTTTGTTATATAAAGAAGCTCTTCTCCCCGTCTTGTGTGTTTCTTCTGCGACATAATATTTATAATTTATAAACCGGGTTCGATTCCCGCATTGGACACTTTTTTCTGTTTAGAAAAAATGCTCCAATGGCCCCCGATTCTTGCAAATGTCCAACCCCACCAGCGAGTGCAAGTAACCAAACGGGGCTCTGGCATTTGTAAGTGCAAAGTCGAACTGCTTTACACATGTGTAGACATGTGGTGCGCTTACAGTAAAAGCAGTCGCTAACTACCCACCATGATTATCATGGCCTGTACCACGTGTACTAGGGATAAGCAAAAAAAAAAAAATTATAAACTCCTATCTTTACTACGGACATTATTACTACTAGTAATAAACCTTTGTTAAGACAAAGTAGTTAATCAAATTTGCACGCTCAGGTAGAACCTTGATGAAGCAAAATTATTTTCAAATATTTATTATATCAAACTGCGAGTAAATAAAGTTTGAATACTCGACTTGGCATATAGTCTACCTCTATATACATTTTGGAATAATTCTGATAGGAGTTTAGTTGCACACACACTTTTAAAATATATAAATACTTTCGATATATGAATCATTTTATTTATTTCAAATACTATCCTTGAACATCAAGCATTTCAAAACATGTAAATGCGATTAAAATACTTGAACATAAATGGTATATATTATCCGTGTACTTATGCACAAATCATTTATAATATTAATTTTTTACTCTAAGATCAAAATGTAAAGGATAGTACAGTTAAACCTGTCTATAGCGCCCCCTCTTGGGACTCACCAAAATAGGGTGCTATAGAGAAGGGGTGCTATAGACAGGTCACTTTTAATGTAAATTGCATCGTACTACGTATTTAAATCGGGCGCTATAGAGAGGGAGGCGCTATTTAGAGGGACGCTATAGACAGGTTTAACTGTATATACCATTTCATGATCTATTCTATCTTTAGATAACTACTAGATTATCCTTTTATGATCCCACCCCTAAAAAAAGAAAGGACAGATATAAAAATTATGGTCACCACACGCTAGATCATAAATCTCAGAGCGTTCTAATTTTAAAAGGAGTTTGTCTTTCTCATGACGTTTGAGAAAGATTGGGACGATGAAGAAATCCGCTATCTTTAGGTCGGATCCTTTTTACTACCTCAGCGGTCTTATTTTAAACCTCCTCCTTTAGGTCTTGAGGAATGAAGGCAGCGAGATAAACAAACAATTTATATTTAACAAAAAAACAATCCTCCAAAATTAATATGGGTAAAATACATGCCCGTGTTGTGCCAGAGGGTATATTGTCCTACATACATTGTTTCCACAGAAGGTTCATTTTTAATTATTTTTATTATTATTATTAGAAATAGTAGTAGTTGTTGTAGTAATAGTATAGAGTAATGATATACAATAATAAATACAGTTAAACCAGTTTATAGCACCCCCTCTCTATAGCACCCTATTTTGGTGAGTACCAAGAGGGGGCGCTATAGGCAGGTTTAATTGTATATCAATATCTTTCGAATCATTTGTAGACTCCAAATATTAAAATCAGTCTGTTATTTTTATGATTTGCATATTCTTATGTAGAAAGACTGACAGTGACTTCCAGACCTAATGATATAATATATGGTGAGAATTTCATTTATAGATAGGGCAACTATTCTAGATTTTTTTAATATGAGACACAATAATATAGGATATTATATATATATTTATGTTTGAGCAATCTATTTTGAGATATAACTATAGATATCCAATATAGATTTCTTCAACAAAGAAAATTACAACTTCTCCTGTTCTTACTACGATGAATAAATATTGGAAGGGCTCGGCTCCTCAGTATTAGAGCTCTAAGAAACGGTCTGGTAGACAATTGACAATTAAAATAATTTGATTGTCATCTTGTCAATACATGCAAAGTGCACAGTCTGTACTATTTAAAAAAAAAGATAATTTGTATTATATACAATATGTACAATGAATATGGCGCCTCTGTCAGCGCTGTAGAGTTTGGTGGAGAATCGCCAGTGGGTCTCCAGCGACACCACGCATTTCGCGATCTACGAAGAATACGTTCTGGTAGATTAAATTGGTGAAACCGCTGGGAGGGTTTACCACTGATGAGCCAAGCCCTTCCAATATTTTTCCTCGCAGTAAGGATAGTAGAAGTTCGTTTTATATGTAAAAGAAACATTCATGCCTTAATCCTTTCATTTCTTATATATAGATGGAGCGTTATTGCTTTATTATTAACGGGTTATATATACTCGTATATATATATATATAATTTGACGTTTATTCATAAATATTTCGATAATCATGCCACAGCAGTCAGTTTCTAATAAACATCTGCACATAGATAGTCCACATAAGTCTATGTGTGATGCTTGTTTACAGCAATTTCACCATTATTGTGTCAGAGTCCAAGGTAATTTGGTAACACTATTAGAGATTCTCTCAAACATTCTTTACGTATTTGGATGTAATTCGTTCTTGCAATTGATTCCTATCCACATTTTGACAATCTATTCATACATTTATTCTATACTCAAATAAAATCATGGACGCGCACATTAAGCTATCTATGATATTGGGGGTCGGTGGAAGGGTGGTCTAAACCGTTGGTTTTCGACCGCTACGACCCAGGATCGAATCCCATATTGGGCACTTTTTTCTGATTAAAAATAAATTCTCCAATGGCCCCCGATTCTTGTAAAAGTCCAACCCCACCAGCAAGTGCAAGTAACCAAACGGTGTCTGGCAAATTTGTAAGTGCACAGTCGAACTGATTTTCACATGTTTAGATATGTGGTGCACTTACAGTAAAAGCAGTCGCCAACTTCTACCCACCATGATTAGCATGACCTGTACCACGTGTACTTGGGATAAGCAAAATAAAATGATATGGTACCCATAGAATAAAATCAGAGCTTCACATTAGAAACTGAAAACGTACAATGTGATTATTATTTCATGTGAACCAGAGAGAGTTCTATGAATAGTGTGTTTAAAACAAGCATATAATAATTATAAACTTTCCATCAAATTTCTGAAAATCTTGAGAAAAAAAAGAGATCATATTTATATTTAATGTATAATTTCTAAAATGAATCAAAATTGCTTTTGAAACGTATTCCAAAAATGTATTCATATTCAGAATTAATTACATACAAGTTTCTATATATATATCCATATAGTCCAATTACAAAAGAATTAATCCACAATTCATTGTAGAAATATTTTGTTTCCCCTCTCCAACTAATTGAAATACCACCACTATTGTTTAAAATCGTCTTGAAAATAGAGAGAGCAAACCATATTTAAATCTTTTACAATACACAATGTAATGTCTTGACATGTAATGTCTTTTAATATCCATATAAGATTATATTAAAAATATAAGATTATATAAGGTTAAATACAGAATAAATTTAAATATGAATTAATAAGATTATATAATGATAAATATATGAATAAATAGACAGAGAGAGAGAGAATGATATTCGCATACAAAAGGAGCATATGTCTTCCGTTTTTTTAAACTTCATTGAAACAACTAATTAAATATAATAATTAATTAATAGCTTCTCTATTTCACAAAGCATATATTAATATAGAAAATTATATAATTGAAATTAAAGAACCGTGATACAGCGTATACGGAGATTTTTAATTAAAAGGTGTCAAATTGTATAAAAAAAATAAATTTAGTTTGGACAAACTTTACCAATATAGTAGAAAGTTTTTACCAGAAAAAGGTAGAAGATATTGTTTCTTTATTAACATGGCCTTTTAGAGGTGAACACAGGATTCCTAACATCAAGGACACAAGTACATTAGGGTTAAGAAGAAACATCTTCGATTTTCTATTCGTTTGTTCCTGATCTTTATCCTTGTAATTGGGGATCAGCAAAAACCTCTTTTCTTTATTGACCTTTTACTTCAAATGACCGGTAAATTTATTTCTTTGAGAAAAATCGCCAATTTACTTAAAGGGAATGGTTGAAAAGATCTTACTTATTTTTAAAAGGTCCGATATTTGATAAAACTGTGTTTGTATGGGTTTTAGTTGTTAAATTAAAAAATATATTGAAAAATATGTTTCTTTAATTTACATTTTTTAATTGAAAAAAGGTAGTTGTACAAAAGTGTCGTAGTTGTTTTAATAAAAAATTTGGTGAAAATAGAGAGCGATTTTTATAGAGGGTGGAGTTCTGCGTATACCTTATTGGTGTTTGAAGTATGACGTTATTTGACGCGAGCTTGACAAGAACTAGTGGGATCCGATTTGGTTCTATAAGAAATTTAAAGTAAAATATTCATAAAATAAATACGAACATTGAGAATGATTTACTATTTTCTGAAATTATTTTTTTAAATAAAAATTTAAAATCTTCAAGATAGAGATTTTCCTTAGCCTGACCACAGCATTCATTGTTCTTGAAGTAAGAGACATTTCGGCCAGCTGTTTTTTTTTTTGACATTTAGACAAAAATATTTTGTCTTTTTTAAGAAAAAAAAATTGAAAGACCGCGTAAGAACGCCCTAATACTCAAATATAAACGCTTTTCCTTAAATTTTATTTTTAATTTTTTCCTGACATGGACAAAAGATTTTTGTCGAAAGGTCGAAAAAATGATAACTCTACTGGCCAAAGTGCCTCTCAAGAACAAGAATTTAAAAATTATAGATAGCAAATGGCTATATGATTAAGAACATATGTCAAGAAAATATGTCATGAAAATGTATCAAAATATTTTGTTGAGGAAGGTACCTCTACATTCATTATAAAAGAGCCTGTTCCAGAAAGGACTCGAACCTGGAACCATCTGATTTGTAGTCAGATACGTTATTCCATAGCGCCATCTTGTTAATTACATTCTATATATACTTCTTTTATATAATTTAGTATAAATTCCATAATAAATGGGAAAATATGCGCTTAGTATTCCAGATGTATTTATGAAGTAGAAAACAAGTATATTAGAACAAGAAATGATGTATATAGGAAGAACACTAAAGGTAAACAAAACAATAGAAGAAATATATTACAAAAAGTTCAGGGAATACAGATCTCAAGGGCCTGTACCATGCTTCATATAAATAGAAGTATTCAGAGGGATCTGCTCTCTTGTGATGGGGCGAATATACAAGGTATGTCCCATAAGTTCCCGGACTGGGTCCATAAAAAAAAAAGGTAAGATTTTTTAAAATTTTTTTTATTAAAACTTTTCGAAGTAATCCCCCTTGCTTCAACGCACCAGCGCCATCGTTTCTCCCAATTGTCGAAACAGTTTTTATAAGCCACTTTTGGAATGTTCTTCAATGCTAACGGCGATTTTTCTATTATGTCATCCCTGGTGTCAAAATGTCTTCCTTTTAGAACTGCTTTAAGTTTGGGGAATAGGAAAAAGTCATTTGGTGCGATGTCTGGGAAATAGGGTGGTTGAAGTAGGATTTGTGTCCCGTTTTTCGCCAAAAAGCTAGTCATCAAGTGCGCTGTGTGAGGGCGAGCATTGTCATGGTGTAGGATCCAGCCACCATTAGTCCATTTTTCTGGCCTTTTTTTTCGAATCGCTTCCCTTAGACGGCGAAGAATGCCCAAATACATTTCCTTAATAACTGTTTGGCCTGCAGGAAGATACTCGTGATGAACAATGCCCTTGTTATCCGAAAAAGCGACCAGCAACACCTTGTTTCTGGATTTTTTGGGTCTAGGCTCACCCTAACCTCTCCAATCGGCAGATTGCGGTTTGGTTTCAGGGTCATAGCCATAGACCCATGTCTCGTCGCCTGTGATTATCTTGTCTTTCCATTCTGGATCCGTTCTTGTCATTTCCATCATGTCCTCACAGGTTGCAAGCCGACACAGTTTTTGCTCATTGGTGAGGAATCTTGGGATGAATTTTGCAGGAGTCTTTTTGAGCTTCAAACCTTCGGTTACGATCCTTCCAATCGTTGTTTTAGAGATGCCTGTGTCTTGCTCTAGCTCCAGCAAAGTGGTTCGAGGATTTTCTTTTATCAAATCGGTGATTTTTTGCACATTTTCATCAGTACTTTGAAATTTTGGGCGTCCTTGACGAGGAGCATCTTCAATGGAAATTCTGCCAGCTTTGAATCTAGAATGCCATTCAAAAACAGTAGTTCTCTTTGGGGCGTCATTGGGGAATGCTTTATTAAGCATTTCGAAAGTTTTGGTTGCTGATATTTGAAGTTTCACACAAAATTCTATGCAAATCCTCTGCTTCAATTTTCGTTCCATCGTAAAATCGCCGCAGCGCTAGGTGTGACCTTTAAATAAATTAGAATTACCTTGGCGCGCGCGCACCTACCGACTCGATATTGGTACCACCGTGTTGCCAGATAATTTTTCTATAATAAACAGTCAAATTTATTTACATTTTTCATTTATTTATTTTTTTATGGACCCAGTCCGGGAACATATGGGACATACCTTGTATAACCAAAACCGTGAAAAATATTGAAGCTGATTGCATTGCAATATTCTCTTCCATATTTCCTCATTGACATGGTGGCTACAAGACCAGAGGTCTTATTTCACAAACCCGCCTTGAGCCACCCTTTTAATAAAGGTATTTCATAGCTCCTGATTATTGTATATACTCGTACGTCCAATTTCACCAATGAGTGCCACTAACCAACTTACATTGCTAGTTATCGCTTCAGCCATTTACAAGTTAATGGCTGGCAGTTTTCTTTTTCTCTAAGGGATTGATTTCCTTGTCCATATCTCTGATAACATTACGGAGTATTCCCCGAAATTGTGTATGAATTCTCAAACCTCCTATTTTCGGTCTTCCCTCAATAGATCCCTCCAATATAGCAGTCAATTATTTAGAGTGCCGGACAAGATGTCCAAACACACCGGTGTTTTCTCCTCCTCTCTATTATTTCCTGAAGGCAGGATCTCTCCGAGATATATTTTAGGATATCTTTGGTATTTAGACTGTCAACACATGGTATTGAATCATTCGGCGCCAGCACCATATTCCATAAGCCTGTAATTTCGCCATATCTTCCTTAGAGCAACCATATCTGCTTTGCCATATCTGACACAGTAAGTGTAGATGTCAAAATTCTCCTACATGTGAAAACATGTAGTGTACTTGCAGTATAATCAAGCCGTCAACATCTACCTAACATGCTTATACACTGCGTGACATTGAAAATGGAACACCAAGAAATAGTGGCCAGAAAATTATGCAAATTTCAGGGTATACGCGCCTAACCGAGTTATGCAAATGATGTAAAATGCGCAGCTCTCGTGCGCACATGGAGTAAGATATAAGGGAAGGAACTTGCAGAAAGGACAGTATTCGAGTCGTTATTTCTTCAAGGAAAATCATTGTAGAAATTTTGTTCTTGTGTCAAAAGACACGTGTAATAACAGAGAATGCCAGGTCATCGTAAACGGAGGCAGTTCAAGCAGACAGACGCTTTTACGAGGGGCATGGTGATCGGACTGAAAAGGGCAGGTTGGTCCATACGTCAAATCGCAGCTGATACACACCTTGGTGCGTCCACGGTGCACCGACTGTGGAGAAGATGGTTGGAACAAGGAAATGTGGCAATTAATAGGAATGTCGGTGCAACCAGAGTGACGTCAGCACGTGTGGATCGGCGTATCCTTCGACAAGCAGTGGCGGCCCCACAAGCCACTTGTACCGCCATCCTGCAACATGTGCAAGACACCCTAGATCATTCCATCTCGACCAGAACCATTTCCCGTCGATTGGTTGCTAATTGCTTGCACTCATGCCGTCCGCTAAGAAGACTGCCATTGACCCCACCGAATAGGCGCCAACGTTTGGAATGGTGCCGGGCTAGATCGACGTGGATGACGGAATGGCACAGGGTCGTGTTCTCAGATGAGTCGCGTTTCTGCTTGTCCAGTGATAGTCGCCGTGTACGCGTGTGGCGTCGACGTGGAGAAAGGTCCAATCCGGCAGCAATTGTGGAACGCCCCACCGTGCGACAACGTGGAATCATGGTTTGGGGCGCAATCGCGTATGATTCCAGGTCACCTTTACTTCGTATTCAGGGCACTATGACGGCCCAACGATACGTTGATGATGTGCTGCGACCGGTGACACTCCCCTACCTTCAGGGGGTACCCAATGCCCTTTATCAACAGTATAACGCCCTAGCCAACAAGCTCTGCAAGATGTACAGATGCTGCCCTGGCCACCGTACTCTCCTGATCTCTCACCAATCGAGCACGTCTGGGACATCATTGGACGCCGTTTGCATGCCTTGCCACAGCCGCGTTCAGAAGACGAACTGTGGCAAATGGTTGAGAGGGAATGGAGAGCCATCCCTCAGGACGCCATCCGTACTCTGATTGACTCTCTACCTAGACGTGTTGCTGCGTGCATCGCCGTCCGCGGTGGTCCTACTTGCTACTAAGCCGACGCCGTTCTCGCTCTGTATTATGACTATCATTTTGAAATAAATATCACTTATTGTTCGTCCCTGTCTCTCTCTGTCTGCCGAGTTTCATCACTTTCTGGCCACTATTTCTTGGTGTTCCATTTTCAATGTCACGCAGTGTATATATATATAAGACGTGTCTAGGATATATAACAACATAATTCCTTAAAATGGTAAATATGTATTATTCCCCCATTTACAAAGTGTACAAACCTCGGCTGATTAGGTAGGATCTATTCATGAGCCAGACCCGCCAAGACTTAATCATTTTCTAAGGAGTTTTATGTCTGGGACCGAATTTTCCTATTTACCTTCCACATCACAAGGTCAGCCGACTGTCCTTTATTATCTGATGGTAATTGATCATTTCAATTAAAATTCCTCCATAATTGGTTCTTTTTATCCAACAATGGACATTTTCCTTCCTATTGGGCTGGAGATTGAATGAAGGCTGCCGATCTTTTTATACTAAAATTTTATGGATAGGCCAATCTAAATTTTCTCCCAACTCTTATGGAATCTATTTAATTTCTTCAAATTACGAAGATATAGCCCAATAAGAAGGCAATCTTGTGTCATCTAGATAAAGTGAGTTCTTGTATATCATATTGAAGATTTTACAAAAAGAAGGGTTCTATCTTCTGTAAAAATAGACGCTGAAACTAAACTCAATCTAATGATGGTTCTCGAGCTAGCGGGACGTTGACAAAGCCACAACACCAGCTTTGGCAAACTCAGAAGGCCAACAAAGAGCCCACGGTTTCGAATTCATAGCCTTCGTCAGTCTAGGGCTGGCCTTGATTCCACGAGATCCGTTAAGGATTTATGAAATTGTCAGAATCTGCCAGAATTGTGGCTATATCACTGACCCGTTAGTTTGCGAGAACCCGCTACGGGTCCGCTAGTTTCGGAGACGGCTAAAAGATGGCGCTTAGTTTTAGTGTATATTTTTACGGAAGAGGTTACCACATATATATATTTATTCTCTCGGAAAAATTCCTATTTATTGAATGGGAACACACTATCATTTCAATCATCTAGCTGATAATAGACAGCGGCCCAATGTTAGGTCAGTAGTGTGAAGTTTCGGACATTTTGGCTTTCACCGATGTCTTCCTGCATCTTGGGACCAGCGATAGAATCAAGCTCTAGACAACGTTTCTTAATAAAAATAATTAAAATATTTTAAAATAATATATATTTTAAAAAATAATAAGAAAGAGCATACAAATGGCAAAACGAATTTCTAATCGTATCAATTTCTGTTATCCAATTTCTGTTGTTACTTCTCTAAAACTAGCATTCGTTACCTTATGACTGCCTGAATCTTGGGCCTAATGAAAATTTCAGTCCAATACGCACGCCAGTCCATGATATTTCGAGGAAGATTCAATCATAAAATTCAGATTAACAATA